TCCGCAAACGCCTCGTGCGAACGCACGCGCTCGCCCCTGCAAACGGCGTGCACGCACGCAGCCCCGCGAGCAAACGCCGCGCACACGCGTGCACTCCCCTAATTGCCGTGCACGCTCACCCCCTAAACACTGCGCACCCCCCCTCCCCGCAAACGCCGTGCACACTCACCCCTAAAAACACGTGCACACGCTCGCTCTGGCAAACACCAGACACACACAGGCTCCCCTAAATACTGTGCACACACCTGCAAACACCGTGCACAAACACACCCCCCCCTAGCAAACAGCATGCGAACACATGCACTCCCCTAAATATTGCACGTGTGCACACCTGCAAACACCGCGCACACACGCCTAAGCACTGCACGCTTGCACACGCCTAAACACCGTGCACACTCCCCTGCAAACTGTGCACACTCACACCCCTAAAACCCCCATGCACCCCCAAACACTGTGCACACACGCACCCCTGAGCAGTGAGCACACCGACACACTCCTACAAACCTTGTGCGCACCCCCCCCCAGCGCTGCAGACACGCACACACACTGAGCGTGCAAACACTGTGCACGCACCCCCATGGCTGCAGACGTGGGGTGTGCATGCCCAGAACAGCACATGCACACTCAGAGCCCGCACACGTGCACGCACACCACATCGTTCACACACGCAGCCTGCAAGCACCGTGCATGCGCACGCGCAGGCCCCCTTGCACTCACCCGTGTGCGCACACACACGCCACCCCCCCCCAGCCCTGTGGGTGCCCACGCGTGCACCATCCAGGGGACACGGGGACACGCTGGGGACACGGGGACGGGGTGGGAAATGGGGGGGTGTGTGCATGCAGGGTGAGTGTGTGTGCACACGTGTGTCCATGCACAGCTGCTGCATGTGTCTATGCACAGTTACAGTGTGTGTGAGAACACGTGTCCGCACGCGTGTGCATAGCTCCAGCGTGTGTGCGTATGTGTATGCGCACAGCTGTAGCATGTATGCACGTGTGTGTGTCAGTGCACCGCTACAAAGCGTGTGCGCGTGTGTGTGTCCCTGCACAGCTGCAGTGTGTGTGCATGCACGTGTGCGTGCACGTGTCTGTGTACAGCTGCAGTGTGTGCACACGTGTGTGTACCTATGCAGGGCTGCAGAGCGTGTACGTGCACTGTTACAGCATGCGTGCACTCGTGTGCCCGTGCATGGCTGCAGAACACGGGCACGTGTGTGTGCATGCGTGTGCGTGCCTGCAGCCCGTGTGCATGTCCCTATGTGTATGTGTGTGGCACGTGCAAGCACCCGTGTGCTCCTGCTCACCCCCC